GGCACCTGCAGTGCCACCTTCTGTTGGGCGTGTGTACACCTTGGATAGGCAGCAGTCAGAACGCGCTCCGAACCTTGTTAGAGGTACTGTGTCTATTGGTGGTATTGTTGTTGATGCATTGTTTGATTCCGGGGATACGCATTCGTTTGTTGCTACCCCGATTGCTTTGGGGCTTGAGTTGCCCATGTTTGTGCTTTCTCCACCGTTGCGGGTGACTTCGCCACCGGAGAAATATGTGATTCTACCACTGTACATCGCGATGTAGCGTTTCTCCATGATGGTTCTCCCTTTGACTCGCCTTACCCGAAAGGAGACTCCATTTTTGTGGACTCACGAGTGTGAGGTGTGCTTTCAGGAGTTGAAGGAGAGATTGACTTATTCACCTGTGTTGATCCTTCCTGATTCTGAGGAGCATTTTGAGCTTTACTGTTATGATTCTGGAAAGGGGCTGGGCTGTGTGTTGAAGCAGTCTGGTAGAGCGGTTGCTTTTGCTTCGAGGCAGTTGAAGCCTCATGAGGAGAACTACCCGACTCATGATTTGGAGTTGGCTGCGATTGTGTTTGCTTTCAAGATTTGGAGGCATTACCTGTTTGGTATGCAGTTTGCGGTGTTCAGGGATCACAAGAGCTTGAAGTATCTGTTTGATCAGAAAGAGCTGAACATGAGGCAGAGGAGATGGATGGAGTTTCTGAAGGACTACGACTTTGAGTTGAAGTACCATCTTGTCAAGACCAATGTGGTAGCTGATGCTTTGAGTCGGAAATCCGTGAGTCTATCCAGTTTGATAATGGGTGACTTCGACCTCATAGAGAAGTTTCGAGATCTGAATGTGACAACCTTGTTTGGGGGTGCACTTCTTGATATGGAGACTGTGAGAGTCAGGAATGAGCTTATGGAGAAGATCCAAGAGGCGCAAGTGCATAGAGAGTGTCTCGACTACGTGAAGAACCAAGACGGTGTGTCTTGGAATGAGGATGGACTTCTGTTGTTTCAGAAGCGTGTTGTGATTCCTCGAGGTCCTTTGACCGAAGAGGTTATGGCGGAGGCCCATAAGGGACAGTTTACTGTTCATCCTGGTGCTACAAAGATGTACCAAGACCTGAAGAGAAATTTCTGGTGGCTAGGAATGAAGAAGGACATAGCTGTGTATGTGTCCAAGTGTTTGATCTGCCAGAAGGTGAAGATTGAACACCAGAAGCCGTATGGTAAACTTCAACCTCTTGAGATTCTGGAAAGGAAATGGGAGAGCATTTCCATGGACTTCGTTGTGGGTTTGCCGAAGACTCAGGTTGGCTGTGACTCGATATGGGTCGTTGTGGACAGATTGACAAAGTCTGCCCATTTTCTTCCAGTGAATGTGAGCTTCACTACATAGCAGTTGGCCAAACTGTATGTTCGCGAGATCGTGAGGCTTCACGGGGTGCCCGAGAGTATCATCAGTGATAGGGACCCGAAGTTCACATCTCGGTTCTGGGAGGCGCTGCAGGGAGCTTTTGGTACTCAGTTGAGATTGAGTACAGCCTATCACCCTCAGACTGATGGACAGACTGAGCGGACTATCCAGACCTTGGAGGACATGTTGCGGGCTTGCACGTTAGAGCAGGGCTCGAAATGGGATAGGTACCTTCCATTGGTAGAGTTTTCGTATAACAACAGTTTCCTTGCTATCCTGGGCATGGCACCCTACGAGGCGCTCTATGGTAGGAGGTGTCATACACCTACCTGCTGGTCTGTGTTTGGCTTGGACTTTGTCCAAGATACCACTCTGCAGATCCAGATGATCAGGGAAAAGCTGAAGCATACGCAGAATCGCCAGAAGAGTTACTACGATGTCAAGCATCGTCCACTGGAGTTCATTGAGGGTGAGCACGTGTTTGTGAGACTTTCACCTGTCACCGGTGTTGGACGGGCACTCGGAGTGAGGAAGCTGAGCCCGCGGTTTATTGGGCCATACCAGATTCTTGGTAGAGTAGGGCCTGTTGCTTACCGGCTTGCCTTGCCTCCGAACCTAGCCAACATTCACGACGTGTTTCACGTGTCTCAACCTCGCAAGTATGTGGCGGATCCTTCGCACGTGGTGCAACCGAATGATGTGAAGGTTCAAGAGAACTTAAAGACTCCCGTCGGACCACTCAAGATTCTCGATCGTGACGAGAAGCAACTGAGGAGCAAGATCATTCTGATGGTCAACGTGCAATGGTCAGGAAGAACTCCTGAGGAGTGTACCTGGGAGCGAGAGGACGAGCTTCTCCGGCAGTATCCCGACTTCCGAGACAGGTATATTATGATTTTGAGGACAAAATCCTAAAAATGTGGGGTGAATGTAAGAACCTGCAACGTTAATTAAGGAATTTAATTAATAAATTATGCGAAATTAGGAAATAATTCCATAATTGACCCTAATAGTTATTATGAGGCTCTAATAATTATAGTAAGTGATTAAGAAGGATGAAAGTCGCTTTTCGGAAGAAAAGTGCAGATAACGGTTCTGCTAGTCGGTATAAATGCGTACTGAAAAAGTATCCCGAAAAATTATAATAAGTGCATGATAATTACTAGAATAATATGTAGGACTTGTAAAACGAGTTTCAAGTCCAAATAATGAGAACTGGTACCAGAAACTGGTACTGGCTTTGAAAAGCGCGTACCGGAAAGGTGCTCCGAAAATTATAAGAAAAATATGATAATTCTTGTAAAATTGAGTAGGTTAAGAATCCAAAGTTTGGGATTAAAATGCTAAGCGTAGCAATTAAAGTTAATACTGTGTTAATTAGTTAAGTGGGCCTATATAAGGCTATGACACACATTTCTAGGTCAAAAATTGTGCCTCCTACGTGAACTTTGCTGAAGCCTTGGACTAGCCACCTTGCTTCTTCATTTCTCCTCCCTTTTCTCACCAAAGTCACCACCTTTGATCATTATTTCACTTCTTGATCAAGTAACCACTTGAGTGTGAGCATTGGAGAGTATTTAGGGTGCCTTTTTTAAGTTGTAAGGTTCAGTTTGGGAAGGGTTTGAGGGCTGACTTGTTGGATTGGTTGTGGTGGAGTGTTGTTCTTGGTTTGTGAGGCTTCAAGGAGCCTTCTTTGTGAAGAAAGACCCTTGCTTTGGTGGTATTTTCGTGCACCCTTGAAGTCAGTACCTTGGAGCTGTTGTGTGAGCTCCAAGAGCACCCATCTTGCTGAGTTTAAGCTGTGGTAAGTTGTACCAACCTTGTTCATGAGTTTAATGGGTTAAAGTTGATGTCTTGGTGTGTTTAATGGATTAAACAAGTAACCAACTGTGATATGAACCTTAAGATGCATGTTTAAGCTTTTGGAAGTGTTGCAAATGGAACCTTTGTTGGATATCTTCGCGAAATGTAGAAACTGCATTCTGTCGCGAAATATCCGGATATTTTCCGTGGAATATCCGGATATTGATATCCGGATATGGATATCCGGATATTGGTATCCGGATATGGGGATCGGGATATCCGGATATTGGATATCCAGATATTGCTAGAGTGATATCCGGATATTGCCTGTGAGATATTCGGATATTGCATATCCGGATATGCCCCCGAGGAATATCTGGATATTCTGGGTTTGCGAGGAACAGTAGCGTACTGTTCATCCAGAACTGATCTATGGGTTTGTGGACCCTAGTTTGAGGAAGTTGAACTTCTGTAATTAATTAATGTAAGTCAGAATCATGTGATTAAGGGCTTATGGCTTGGTGAGAAGCCTTAAGACGTAAAACGTAATGGAAAGACGTCTTAATATTGTATGCTTGCGGTGCATGTTATTGATATATTATTGGTCCATAACAGATTGTGAATCTGCTGTGTTTGGACTTTGAGCTGTGGACTCGTGGCTTTGGGTGTTAGCTTGCAAGGTAAGCTTTCGTGTACTCGGTTTAGCCATGTTGTGGTTCCACCATGTCCCATGGGGGTGTGGTTATATGCATGTTGTGTTACATGCTTTGAATATTTGAAATGCTGTTGAGCTTTATGTGTAATGGCTTTTAATATGCATGTGTTGTTTCATCTTGACGGTAAACCTGAGTGTGTGGCGTCATACGATTTGGTGATCCGGGGTGAATGCAAGTGGCGTCTTGCACTAATTGTGGGTAATAGACGTATACTTATTCCTGCATTTCTCTGGCTAGTAGAATAGAATTGACACATATGACATGATTATCTGCTGCATTGCACTGTTTTAGAAATGATATTGATGAACTGCTTTTAAACTTATATTGCACATGTAAGTGAGCTTGGGGTGGAAGATCCTTGAGGACCCCTTGTCTTACTGAGATTTCTTGTTTAGAGATCTCACCCCACGTTTGGGGAATGCTTATTTCAGGTTCAGGTAGTATGGTGACTAATGCCTCTGGCGGCAGGAGGCCAGAGCTTAGCTGATTATGATCTTATTGCTTATTTGCTAGCATGACTGGACCGGATGCTGTTTATGTTTTCTGCTCTTTATGTTTTGAGTTGAGACTGATGTTGGGCTTTGTTGCCTTATTTGGGTGAGCATGGGGTTGTCCATGCCACTATGCTGTTAGTACTTTTGAGTTGAGTTGTATAAACTGTTAGTTGGTCCGATCTACGTGTTGTAGTTCCGTGACTAGAGCCATACATTACGTTATTTTAATTAATGAGGTATTTTTTTTTTTTTTGTAAATATTAATGAGGTATTTCAGTTAGCTGTTTTATTGCAATTGCATACAGGCGATATTTTATTAATTGATTAATAAGCAAGTTGGTAATGTTAATGACTTCATAATTGAAAAGAAAAAGATATTCCGCATTTTTAATTAAGCGCTGCTTAATACGATAGTATGATAACATTACCGGATATATACGGGGTGTTACAATTAGGAGTATGATAGGATTATGTTATCCTATCATATGTTTGAAATGAACCAGATATCGTTAGGATATAATATAAATGGACTAAAATACCCATTGCAGCAATCAGCCTCAAGCCGTGCTCCACCATCACCATACCCTAACTCACCTTCATCTCCCTATCCACCATCCTTATATCCTCCTCCCCCTTCATATTCGCCAACTTCAGCTTATCCACCACCTCCATATCCACGAGAACCAGAAGCTCAAAGGAACAAAAAATAAAATAAAATATTTTTTCATTAGGGTTTTTTTCTTTTTTTCATATTTGCTCTCATTATTCATCGATTCAGATTATTGAACACATCTTTTTGTCTGAAATGCTTATAGGCCAACATTTTGTGTACTAATGTTCTATATATACACTCCTTTCTATGTGTGTTTCGTTTCAATTTCGCTTCTATCGCTCATCCTCTCTCGGTAATGGGTTTTCTGGTCTCACCCGTTTCTTCCATCTCCGTTGGATGGCATTAGTTTCGAGTCCAAGCTCAGAGCTTGGATGGTCAAAGTTTGACGGTGTTGTCCTTTGAATCTAATTCAGTGAATGGAGCTTCTCTGGTTGTTTAGACACAACAAGATTGTTCTTTGATTGAGGAGGAAAGGGATGTGAGGTTGTTGCGTCCTATAGTTGAAGAGAAGAAGAGCAATAAGGAAGATTTAACACCCCTTTGGGATAATGGTTATGGAACTGTGACTGTGAATCTGAGATTTTGAAATCGAACAGGGTAGATGGAAAAGATAAAATGACTCAACCTGATAAGCTTACCTTATCCCTTGGGTTCACCAAACAATGGATAAAGACATGATAAGATAAATTATCATATCCTATCCTTTCTATTGCACCAAACGAGCTCGTATAGTCCATGTGAGATCATGTGAATAGAAGAGAGAGGAACCCACTATATTTATGTGTGTTACGGGGAGTTTAGGAGTTGATGAAATCTATATTAAATGCATCCATGTTGCTCTTGTGAATAAAGTTTGCTAATTGGCCCTCCATCGTTCACTGTTTTTTTTTTTGTAATATTGTCGAGGTAGCTATCACCCTATATTAAAATAATTTACTTTAATTGTTTTCCATCCTATTTATGTTTTGACATCTGTTCATGTATAATCTGTATAGAAACGCATCCTGATTATGGCCATTTTTATATTCTATTTGTGTGTCATTTGCAAGGTCCAGCACATTATCGCATAACTCAATGAAATTATGGCCCATGATATTGTGGATGAGGGTGGGCTACTGAAGTAAAAACTCACTGATGAGTCATTAAAGCAATAAAGATTTTAGAATTCTCACCTCAAGCAATTCAAGAACAATTACTACTTGAACATGAAAATGTTCAGGTTCCCAATGGTGCTATAGTTCTATGTTTGATGTGTTTATTTTGCCCCATTATGCAATTTGACTTATACCTCAATATCGGTATATTTCCATTTAGGTTGCCAAGATAGAAACTGAGGAAATGCATATTCATACAATTTTACACAGAGAAAAGAGAAGTACTTACGCATAAAGCCGAATATGTGTATTGATATAAAATCTGAATAGTATACAAATGCACTCATAATTATATCAGAGGCTACACAAAAGCTATAGAGGAGAAGTTAACCGTACAAAGTCTAATAATTGTACTAAGCGACTAACTAAAGTAAAGTGGTTATAACAGAAATGAGATATGTACGCGTGAGTGAGAGAATGCATAGAGTTGTTGCACTACTTAGATGTATTGCATATTCAAATGGTGGAAACTGAGTTGGAAAAAAGAAAGCTAAAAGGCACATGGAAAGCCGAATTTAGAGAGCAATCTCACTTTTTTGGGTACTTCATTTAATTTAGATATCATTCTTGAAGCTACAAGGTTTGGTGATATAGGTTGCTATGAAGATAATAAAATTCTATGGACATGCTTTATGATTCGCCTTTAACTTGGATTAAAAATAAAAATAAAACCTATTTTCACCATACATTTGCTAATGGCATCACTATCTTCGGCTGACTTTGTAGGTACCCACACTCATTTAAATATGCAGCTATATATAAAGGGAGATGTGGTTTGCCAACTAATTTTTGATTCTACTTACTTTCATGCGCACCTACTCAATTGCCAATGTCTGAAACTTCAGACATAAATATGGAGATACACTTTTTTATAGTAAAAAAGATATATATCTTTTAATTAATTAGGAATGTCATTAAGGAAGCAAATTTAGTGGCTACATTGCTAAGAAAACAAGCACATGTATTAAGAAAGAAACACATCTTAATTACAACTACTTGTGTTTTAGTATTTTTATATCATTAAGTTGATTACTATTTTTTTTATATTAAGTTGAAATTTTCTTTTCTTTTCTTGTTTGATGATTATATCCCTTATGTTATATAAATAAATTTTTTCTTAATATAAGAAAAAATTATATTATATTAAAGAAGTGATAGAGCATAATATTCAATGAATTGGTAATATGACAAAAAATTTGGTTTATATAATATAAAGGATATAAATCTCTTCTTGTTTATATTCTTTTAGTTTTTAATATATTTAATTTTATTTTAATATAGCTCAGATACCAAAAGGAACACAAGTACATTGTAGTTTACTAAGACTCCAATGTTTCTATCCAAGAATATCTCAATGCAATTATTACGTCGCTATCTCTTACCAGCTTCAACTCTGCCTACTGTGTTCACAACTCCCAACATCATGCCCTGCGAGTTAACATGACCCTACCCACTAAATGATTGGATTATATGGGGCTGGGCCTGAAATACCTCATAACATGTGGGGCTAAAATTTAATAAGTTAGAACCAAGGGGTTGCCCCATGGCTTCAGCCTTATTTGACAACTCTAATTGATGCATCTTGGAGCGCTAAATAAGGTTGGTCTGATAGCAGAAGAAACTGCCATAATATATTAGATGTTTGGCACATTTGCCTAATAGAATAGCCAAATCTGGTTAACTTGAGTTATCCTGTCACAACTTGAAAAACAAAACTAGTCAATAAGAATTTTACAGGACTTCCCTTATACTACTAGAGATTTGTCACAATGCAAACAAAGCCGCCACGATCGTCACATACCATCATCATCTCCGGCAGAGGCAGTGTCCTCTCTTGACCTCCTGTTATCATGTCTCATACTTATTTTGATTTTATATTTACAAATTGCTATGTGAGAGAAAGGCTAGACCCAACAATTTTTGAAGATATTTTCTATTTGCAGTAATCCCTAATACAAAGAATATCACATAAACCACTGTAAAGGGTTCAAATCTGAATTACGATGAGAATAGGGAATCAGAGAGATAGGGAGAGAGAGAGAGAAAAAAGAGAGGGAATTGTCCAACAAATTTTCTGAATATCTTCTCATGCCCCTTTCGTGGGCTATATATGTCCATTTCGTTACAATCTATTCTTTCTTTTTAACTTTTCTAAGTACAAACACAATCCTTACTGGACTCCTAATTGGGCCGCTCTCTTCATTGAAAATAATCAGCCAAGTAACCCGGATGCCTTCTTTCACGAATGGGCCTCCCTGTCCCTAGCACAATAAATCTGCTTGCAACATTCCTCTCCCCATAAGAACAAATCTCGTCGGCGAGATGTGTTGGCCCAATTGATTCTCTCGTGGTTGGCTGACCTGCATTAAGGCCTCACGTGCTGTGTCGGTAGGAAGGTTCTGAAGGCTTGGAGACTGTGGTAGACAGCTGGGTGCAATTAACTATGTAGTGGTTGTGGAAGGACGGCCAACGCCAGCTGTAAGACTCCCATTGGATTCGTCTGTGGCCCCATTAATGCTTGTTGCTGTACCCGAGTTATACACTGGTGGAAAGGGCTGGCCAAGATATTTCCTTTTCCCCCTTGTATCAGAAAGACTCTGTTCCCCATGGTCACGCAGAAGTGTAGGTAGGACCTGATCTCTTGAGACGCTCTTATCCACCATGACTCTTTCGTCTTCCCAAGTGGATTCCTCCTGCGGTAACCCCTGCTACTGCACCAGTACTTGGGGTGTTTCACGTCCCTGCCTCTATATCATTTTGCTGGACACAATAGCCGCGGGCACATGCATGGGCGGTGTATTTTGGAGATCTGCCGTGAAAGGGTGGACCTTGTGCTGCCTGTGATCCATGAAGGGTCTCAAAAGATAGACATGAAAGACTGGATGGGCACGCGATCCGTTAGGTAGTTGAAGGCGATAGGCCACTTGTTCGATGCGCCCTAAGACCTCAAACGGTCCATAAAACCGTAAGCTGAGCTTGTGGGAGGATCGTCTATGGATCGTTAGTTGACGGTAGGGTTGCAGGCGCAAAAGGACTTGATCCCCGACTTGAAAGGTATGATCTTTTCGCTTCTTGTCTACCTGTTCTTTCATCAAGGTTTGCGCTTTTTTTAAGTTTTGCTTTAATGAAGCCATGATCAAGGAACGTTGCTGGAGATCCGTGTCCACAGCTTCTATATGCGTTAATCCCAATGTGTAGGCCAACAAACACGGTGGGGGCCGTCCGAAAGTGGCCTGGAATGGGGTGGTCCGAGTGGAGTGATTATAAGCCGTGTTGTAATGAAACTCAGCCCAGCTAAGGAAGCGATGCCAGGTGTTCTGATGGTCATGAACAAAACAACGAAGGTACTATTCCAGGATTTGGTTGACCCGCTCTGTCTAGCCGTCCGATTGAGGATGATACGCAGACGAGAAATGCAGCATAGTTCCCTGTAATTTGAAAAGAGTCTTCCAAAAATCACTGGTGAAGATGGGGTCACAATCCAAGACGATGGAACGGGGAGGGCCGTGTATCTTCCCTACCGTGTCGCAAAACACCTGAGCTACCTTTACTGCCGAATACTTTGGAGGTAAGGCTGCGAAATGAGCCCCCTTTGTCAATCTGTCCACTACTACCATGATGTCAATGAAACCCCCTGAGTTGGGGAGGTGGGTTATAAAATCCATGGACAAGTCCGACCAGATGGCATCTGGGATGAAGAGTGGCTGCAGCAGACCATAAGGTGAATGATTTGGGGACTTAGTCTTTTGACATGTTTCTCAGTGCTGTATATACTGTTGAATATCCCTTTTCATGTGTTTCCAGGTAAACGAAGCACCAACTCGGAGAAGCGTTCTTCGGATCCCAGCATGACCACCAACCTTGGAGGAGTGGAACTGATGGAGAAAGAGCGGAGTCACCGAGGA